TTGCTTAGGGAAAAACTTTTGGCTGATCATGTGCTGTTTAGTTGCCAGAAATTCAAATGTAATGTTATAGTTATTTTATAGTTAAATTTATTTGAAAATCAATTTTAAATTATTTTTTAAATGATGCCTAATTTTTGCAGCAACCCATAAAGCGCAATTGCATGACTCTTAAACACGCAATATTTTATTATTTTTTTTTTTTTTATTAAATTTCAATATTTTATTTTTTCCATAACATCATCATTATTTGATTGTCAGTGAATTTTTGTATACAAAAACTTTTTTTGTTATTTAAAAATGAAGCTTTTATTAAAAATTGAACAAAGCCATAAACAACAAAAGCTTTAGGAACCGGATCGGAAGTGACATGGAGGTTTTGTTTGAAATAAATTTGATTACGAATGTTTCATGTTGTTTATGATTTTTTTTGTGGTTTATTATTTTATTTTATTTGATGGATTTTACTTGTTGATTTCCACTTAATTTGCTTTATCCAGGGGATTTCAGGACTCTAGAAAATTTAGTTGAAACGTTTTTAAAAGGATTGATCATAAAACTAGTCAATATCTCACGAATCTCCACGAAAAGTTAAATATTTCACTTATTTAATTTCAAAACTTCACTTTAAATCGTGCAAAAAATTCCACTCAATAAAATCCCCATAATAAATTTTCTACTTCATATTTCTCTTTTATAATTCACGAGCAATAAAAAAAGAATCTTTTTTAAAGCTTAAGCCATAAACTTAACAGCACACTAAGAGAAAATAAAATCTGATAGGTCATGAAACTTTCATTTAAACTTAAATAATCATAACATTATAAATTTTCTCGAAAAAAAATGAACACAATAGGAAGAGCGAGAACTTTTCTCATTCACAAAGTCACGAAACACCTGACAACGATGATGAAAATGATGGAAGTTGTTCTTCACTCTCAATTTCACAAAAAAAAAATATTGTGAAGAAGAATTGCAAAATTTAAATTATAAATAATTGTAGACACGATGGAGAGGATAGGAAAGTTTTGTCAGAATGATATGAATTTAAAACTACGACTAGAATTGAAAGCACTGGATTAAATGTAAAGCATCGATTTAAATCTGAAGCGACGACTTGAAAATTGAATTATGTCTAGAATCTAAAGCAATGACTTGGAAATGACTTATATTTAAAGCGTTGAGTTTTAATGACGATAAAGTAGCGACTTAAAAATAAAGCAACGACTCAAACATAAAGCAACGACTCAAACATAAAGCAACGACTCAAACATAAAACAACGACTCAAATATAATGCAACAACTCAAACATAAAGCAACGACTCAAATAAAAATCAACGACTCAAATAAAAATCAACGACTGAAATAAAAAGCATCGATTCAGAATATACATCAACGACTCAAAAATAATGCAACAACTCAAACATAAAGCAACGACTCAAGTGACGTCTCAAATTTTCAGCTCTTCAAATCAAACCAAAATACCGCAAAGGAATCAAACTTTAAAATAAATACAGAAAATTGTAGAAAATCTCAGTGACAGTGACTGAATAAAAAGGCATGTTTAAATGGCATATAATTTCTTGACTACTGATAACAACAATGGCTTTAGCACGAGACACAATTGTAGTAAAGCGTCTGTCTATATAGCATCCGCACTTGCTGCTTTTTCTTAATTGCTCTATGGGGAATTATTATTCCTGTTATTATTACTATTGTTGTTGATGCCAGTGCCACATTCAACACCTCATCTCTGCTCTTGTTTTTCATACAACATCTTCTACCATAGTAAAAAAAGACTAGAAACGAACGTTGTATCGTGGTCAAATGAATGGTTGGATGCTTGGCTGATGCTAATTGCATAAAATATGAATATTTTAGTTTCGAAAACTTTTAATAGTTGTTATGGGGGATGAATATTTATTGTGGATATAGAAGGAACTCAGGATGAAGAAAATGAAAAACGAGATGTTGCATAGACATAGATTGAGATTTACGGAAATGAATCATACGATGATAATGGATTGAAGTGTGAATTGTATGAGAATTATGGGCTTGGGAGATTGCTTTTCAGGTTAAAGATGTGATAGATTTATGTGCAGTTTATGTTGTTTAGTTCAGGCATGCTGTGTGCATGTATAGATTGTGTGTTCAAGGATTTTTACTGGTTTTTACTTATGTATCATTATTGACTCAATTGTCACTGATTGTGATGACTTTTTAGGTAGAGAACTTTCTGTTTTTAGCTCTATTAAGTACTGTTCAGTGCAAATTAACGCTTTTTAGTTCAATTCAGCGTTGTTCAGCACTATTCACATCTGTTAAGCTCAGTTCATCTCTATAAAGTGCTATTTGACTCAAGTCATTTGAATTAAGCTTAACTTCGTAACTTCCAGTACAATCCAAACAAATTAGCACGCTTTTAAAGCAATTTAACAATCCCATAAGCTAATCTACCATTTTTATGACCTCATAATATTTCCCTCATAATAAACTCTAAAGTTTTCATCCATAAACCGCCCACGACTTTATGTGCTCTATGGAAAAAACTTTCTCATATTTCCCAGAGTCCCTCTTACTCACATTCACATTAAATAAATTGTTCGTTAATTATTATAACATGCACGAAAGAATTAAATTATCTCGAAAATATCCGTTAATCCATGAACATAATAATAAATTTAAATATCATATACAAGAGAAAAGCACCAAGCCAACAGCATCGCTAAACGAAAGCACCATAAAAAAAAGTTTTTCACTAGAACGAGAACAAAAAAAATCCTCATAAAGCTGTTAAAGTTTTATTGCCAGCCACTTTAATGGGTGTGTTAAGAAACAGATTTACATAATTTTCGACCGGAGAGAAAAGTTTTCTGTTTCTTGTTCTTTACCTTCTAATGGTGCTGGAATTATTTTCAACTCGTAACAGTTATAAATGCCTGTCATTTCATGCAATCATAAAGTTTATTGTCAGAAAATTGTCCTTGATGAGGTTGAGATGGAGAATAGTTTGGAGATGAATTTTGAAATGTTGTGATTTTTTACGCTGAATGTAACTTGCTGAATATAAATATGTACTGACTTCAATTGAAAGCTGCTGAATTAAACTGACAAGTGCCGAATTGAGTCAAAAACTAATTAATTGAGCTGAATTATGATGAAAAGTGCTTGATTGAGCTGAAAAGTGCCGAATTGAGTTAAAAAGTGCTGAATTGAGTTAAAAAGTGCTGAATTGAGTTAAAAAGTGCTGAATTGAGTTAAAAAGTGCTGAATTGAGTTAAAAAGTTCTGAATTGAGCTGCAAAGTGCTGAACTGGCCTTTAAAGTACTCAACTGAATTGGATAAACTTGAATTCAGCTCAAAATTACTTTGATTTTTCATCAAACCTTTTGATATAACCTTAAAAATTCCTATATCCTCTCTTAATATTCCCTAGATTATAAGCAAAACATGATAAAATTTATGACGACAAAAATTTTTTAATCCCTTATCTTTTTCTTTTTCTCTTTTCAGGATAACAAAAAAATCCATTTAGCAACAATTATAAATTTCGAAACGACCCTTTTCAATTAGTTTTAATTCCTCTCCTATTTCTCTTCATTCTTGCTTAATTGAGTGAAGGAAAACTTTTTTTTTGTACCACATTCAAAGATTAAAGAGGCACAAAAAAGTGGAATAAATCAGCAGTTAATCATCAGAGACATCAGTCATGGCGCCCAATAGTATTAGGTGCGCTCTTTATCTCATCACATTTATTATTCTGGCTTCATCTGGGGCATTTATAAAAGGTGAGTGTTGTTACAACTTTTAATATTAAATTTTTGGGGGGTTCAAAAAAGAAGAAAATTATCAAAATAAAAAATATTTTTTAAATTCTGCTACAAAACTTAAATTTTCCATAATTCATCTTTTTTAAATCCGTTTCACATCCACACAAATATGAAATAAATCACTACAATGTATTATGAGAGATGGACATCTGTCGTATAATGCGGAACTTAATCGTTTTTTAAAAAGAATGTTTGCATTCATCTCGCAATCATGCCATTATAACTAGAACTAAACTCACGATATGTACTTTGAAATAGAATTTCAGGTGAATTTGTGTAGAATGAGAGATGTGGCATAGGTCGCATCATGTAATGCTATTTCTTCTATTTGATTGCTACATGTGTTTTGCGTGATGTTACTTCCTATATATTTTTTTCATTCATTGAAATGAATTCCTTTTGCTGTGTAAATTGTTTAGGAATAATTGAAGCATGTGATGTAAAAAATGGGAAGGAAGATGGGTTGGATATTGTGGATTATTGAGGATATTGTGTTTAGGAATTGATGACTCACAGTTGGGCTTATTCTTACACTCTTAAAGAATGCTGACCCCAGAGCAGTCTCGGGAGGACATTTGAGTAAATGACTAGTTAATAGCCAAACCTACGGTAAACTAATGACAAATTTTGAGGAAAGTTCCGAAGAAAATGATGTTAGTCGACCGTTAGTCTAGTTATAACCTAGACATTGGTGCCACGTGTCCGCTCGGGAGTGATTCTTAAACAGTCCTAAGACACGCAGTATTAAATGATTCCGTCCCAGACCATTAGACACATATCCCAAATCCCCAACTCTGCATCAAATCCAAAATATTCATTACATCCCTAATTCCTGTAAAAAGAAAGCATACCAAGCAATCAAAAACGAGATTACAAGGAATAGGAAATTAATTATTTTTGTATTGTAGATTACGTGTGTTATGTATTATTCCTTATCTCCGAAAAGCACGCATATCCAAGATTAAAGATCCTTGTTACTATTCGATTTGAGTCTTTGAAGTATTTACATTGTACTTTGTTATTAAATTTATCCAACAATAGGGAAGTAATGTAATTCGTAATTGAACATAATTTGATTCTAATTTAGTAATACATCAAAGGTTTCTAGAGCTTCCTAAAATTGTAAAGCAATTTTACTGTTTCTGATGCTAAAAATACAATTTTCAACATTTTAAAATTAATTTTTCAAATTTTATTTTTAATAATTTTTGAACTTCTTAAAAATTTTACTTTATTTCCTTATTAATCCATTCTACATAAGGCGATATATCCTCAACAAGTATCGGATAAGATACAGCACAAATTTTAAATCCAAAATACATTCTTGCCGAGCACATAATTCCCTTCAAATACCATGTAGACATGACCTTAATATATAATTGACTATCATAGTGACATGGTCCATTATTATTATTGTCAGTTCCTAAAATGCAGAAAAATTTTGATTCTGAACCTTGTTCTAGTTCCGTATTATATTCATATTGGCATGTTGCATCATCAGTAATAGTCGTGCTGGCATGTTTACGTTTGAGACTTATAGCACCTGTCTCATCGACGCCATATCCGACAGCATACGTTGTTTTTCCAATAATTTCTTTCTCAAAATCGGCGTCAAAATTCCACAAACAAATCGGACGTATAAAGTCATTAAAACTTATATCCTGGTCGAGTGTAATGACCGCAAAGTTGAAAATACTGAAACTTATTGAAACTTTTCTTGCATTTGGATAGCTTTGGATTTTTAATGCGCCAACTTTTAAGGATCCTTCAGCACTTAAGTCTGCAAACTTTTTTGTTCCTAAATAAATTTCAACATTTTTTGGGTCCACTGGCTTCCACAATCTAGTACTTTCGAGAGTTGAGACTGCACGAGCTTTAGCAATAATGTGTCTTTTAGATATTAAACTTCCTGATCCTTTGTGTGACTTGATTCTGTGACTTTCTACAGAAATTATTGCCATCCAAGGAAATTCATTACGTTGTGAGTAATTTCCACCTTGAATCAATCCAGTCGGTTCACTAATTGCTCCACATTCACTAATTATTTCATCTTCAGCATTTATGTCTACTGTGTGATCTTCCAGTGCGAATTCTGAAAGGTCTTGTAGACATGAAATCTTTGAAGAACTTAAAATAAAAATGCAGCAGAATATCTTCCACATATCAACACATGAGAAATAAAACTGTGACTGATTATGATTATATGTATGAGGAAATAAAACTAGCCTGAAGGAAATAAATGTCAAGGGAATGTAACTTTTTGGATTTAAATATTTTAAAATGATCGGATGCTTAAACATAAGCGTGCTGACATACTGCAAATCCAGCTTTGCTTCTCAAGCAATAGACAGAAATTATGTCTAAAGCCTTAAATTGTAATTAAAAGTGATTAACCTAAAAATATTCAAAAAGCACCCAATTAACAGCTTCCAGACTGTTTTATTTTCCGCCTACATCCAGCAACTCAATAAATGCAGAATCTTTGCATTGTACTTGACAATTTATTCTCTCTTGAAGTAGTCATTATGTCAAGTTCATTAATAAAGCAATTTTTATATGAAATGATTGCGATAATGATGCAGATAGGAGTAATAAAATGTCAAGATAAACAGTTTTTTTAAGACAGACTATTGAAGTGCATAATTTTCTTTATTTGTCTGTAAGCTTGAGTATTAAGCTTAATTTAAAGCTGATGGAAGTCGAGTCCAGGTAGTTTGGCTGGACCACGTGTCAGCAACTACTTATTTAACGAATCCAGCTACCTAGTAAAACTTATTCATAAGATTCAAGCCTGTTGCATAAATTTTCAAGATCAAGTATCTTCAAGTATGTGTCATAATGATTATTAATACGAGTAGATTGAATTGTATTGAAGTACTTTCAAATTGAGTATACTACGAGTAGCAACTTAGTGAGTTGAAGGAATATATAAAATTTTGTGTCATCAAAGTCGATGCGAATTCAACAATTTATCACAAATATTGAAGATTTTGCCACTAAGCTAACATTAAATTTTCAATAAAAGTCATTAAACTTTCAATAGAACCCATTTGCATCAACATCAAAGATCCATATGCATACATTGACATACGAGCAAGGAGACATCAAAAGCTATAATCTCCTTACATCCTATAATTCAAATTTCTATTGCCGCTCGTTCACATGCTGTTCATTAAATCATGAGGAAAAATGGAATTAAAAATGAAAAGAGGAGACAGCAAACAATAATTTTATATCATGTAAATTCAAGCCATATGCAAATCATCACTAGCGCTATATCAAAAGAGATTATTTATGCGATTGTATCGATTTGTTAAATCATAATGTTCACAGCTAGCATAATAATGAATATAAAAGTTCTAATGATATTACATATGATGTCGAGACATGCAGCTTGCAACAAACACGACGAAAACGAGAGATTAAAAAAAACTAGCGGAAAGACCATTCAGCATAGATCTAAATAAATTGAACAGCAATATCATTTAATAAACACATTTATATTCATGTAAAATGCATTTAACAAATTGATTATTCACAGCACAGAAAACTATCCATGTACTTTTCTATCTCTCTTTTCTGTTGCTATTTTATTTTTATACTAAATGTTTATTTACAAACCTCTTTCATTTCTCATTTCTAATTCCTCCTCATGATACATTCAACATGCTTTTTCATTTGTTATCTACTGCAACTTATTTGTAGCCTTTTGTTTTTAGTGAAAATTAAGGGATGATGGCTAGTTTTTGAATTATTTGGCACTATTCAGCATTATTCAGCACTATTCAGCTTTATTCAGCACTATTCAGCTTTATTCAGCTAGAGTTCAGCTCATTTCAGCTCTTTTAAATGTCTATTCGGAGTTATTCAGCTAGAATTCGACTCATTTCAGATTTTTTAAATGTCTATTCAGCATTATTCAGCTAGAGTTTGGCTCATTTCAGCACTTTTAAGTGTATTCAGCATTATTTCGCTTATTTCAGCCCTTTTAAGTTTCTATTCAGCTTTATTTAGCTACAATTCAATTCAATTCAGCTAAACTAATTTCAATTCAGCTAAACTAATCTCAATTCAGCTATATGAAGCTAAAAAATCTTTAAATTTACCACAAAGCTCATAATATTCAGCAAAATTACCTAACCTCATTCAAAAATATGCATTAATCATCTTCCCTATCCTAAATTCCTAGCAATTACTTTTACAATCTTCCATCCTATCTCAGCTATTTTATTTCATATTTATCAGAGATCGAAGCCGATTTTTTCGGCTTAACTCAATTTTTGATTTTTTTGATAGAAAAAAGCCATTTGACACCCATTTCAAGTATTTAAATTGAACTTTACATGCTTTACTATGATTCTGTGTAATATTTTGTCAGCATGTAGCTATAGTGAGCTCAGAATTTCAAGTTAAAGAATGTTAAGCCGAAATTTAAGCCGATCGGCTTAAAATCGGCTAAATTGAAATTCTGAGCTCACTATAGCTACATGCTGACAAAATATTACACAGAATCATAGTAAAGCATGTAAAGTTCAATTTAAATACTTGAAATGGGTGTCAAATGGCTTTTTTCTATCAAAAAAATCAAAAATTGAGTTAAGCCGAAAAAATCGGCTTCGATCTCTGATATTTATATTTTACAAATTTACATGCATTAAATGCTCATACATATGTATCTTTTCTTCAGCTTGATATGTTGAACAATATAACATTAATTTTCTACATAAATAAATAGGTGATAGTGATGTAAATAAACATTAAAATATTTTATATTTGCTTACTCTACAGATAGAGCGAGAGAAGAGCATCTCGTGACTTACATAATTTTTACGAGTTGATATCGATTGACTTTGACTTTTGGGACTGAGTTTTATAGGGGATTAGAAGTTAATAGCTTTTGTGGAAGAATTATGTGATGAAACTTTCGACGCTGGGGGATTTTAAGGAAGGAAAAAAGTGTGATTACTTTCATTCAACAGATTTTAGACGTTGCGTCATGTATTTATATCTACAGATGTGGACTGTAGATGATATAGTTGGTAAAGTGATTGTGAGATCGATTAGAATCACACTTTTGTTAAGAAATCTACTCATTTTCCTTGGTTCTTTATTGAATCAACCACAGAGGCTCGTGAACCGTAGCTGACAGATTTGTTCGTGTATATATTGTTATTCTATGACCTCATGCTAGCAACACCTTACCCTAATATCACAAAATACCTAAAAATTCAAAAACATGGAAGAAATAGAGTCCAAACAAATTAATCCATATCACACGTCACAGCATTTTATAAAGCTTGATACGGCACTCATTGTAATATTAATGTTCTATCATGTATCATAAAATATTTATAGAAAAACAAGGAAAAAAGTAAATAAACAAGCATATGAACTGTGAGAAAAATGAAAAAGCATAATTTTTGGGTGAAACGAAAATGACCTAAGCACAAAAGTAAAGAAGAATTTATATGGAGATTGAGAGAAAATAAATAATTTATAGATGAAAATAAATATTAAACACAAAATATATATGAATATATTGAGATATAAAGAGGAGGAAAAAGGAAAACTTTTTCATGTGCTTTTGATGCTTTTCATATCATGCAAAGAAGGAATTATTTCCATTCATTTCTATTATTTTTTTCCTTTTCTTTTATTTTGTAATAAAGATGAATAGCATGAAAATTATTAATATGTTAAGGAAAGGTCAATATCGTATGAGATTGTATATGCTGTTGATTTTTATGATGATTTTTGTTGACGAGATTTATATGATTTTGGGATTCTTTTGTCAAGTTGTCCTTATAAAACAAAACGTTAGTGGTAATTCTGTTATTCAGCTATGGTTTAGCACTATTTACATGATTCAGTGCAATACCGCTTTAATTCAGCACTATTCAGCTAAAGATTAGCTCCATTCAGCTTGAACTCAGCATTATCCAGCTTGAATTCAGCACTATTCAGCTTGATTTCAGCACTATTCAGCTTGAAATTAAGCATTAATCAGCTTGTATTCAGCACTATTCAGCTTGAATTCAGCTCTATGCAGCAAGAAATCAACACCATTAAGCTTTAAATCAGCACTTTTCAGTTTGAATTCAGCACTATTCAGCACTATTAGTATAATTCAGCTCAGTTCAGCATTGTTCAGCTAATTTCCATCACTTTTGGAATTCGCTTTATCAACCAGCCAATATCCTTCCCCAAACTTACTTTATCAAAATCAAAAAATGAATATGTTACACCCAATCATTATGCAATGCCCAAAACATTCACTTTTATTGACATTAAATCAGATTCATACATTTTTCGCCTCCCAATCTGATGCCTGTAAATCTCCTTTATTTGCCCAAAAGGGATATTAATGAGTATTTTCCACCAACAACAAAAATAAAAAAAAAACTCATGCAGACTCACAAATGTGTTTATGATGAAAACAATTGAATGGGAAAAATTCCATTTTTTTGCATGCAAAACATCCATAAATTGAACAACCACAAAGATATTCGTACATGGTACATGAAAAAATATTGGACTTAAGCGATTATAGCATTACATGACCGCAAAATGTTGACACAAAATTGTAACAACAACTTTTTTTTTTGTCATCCCTTGATGGGGATTTAATATGAGCAATGGACTTTTAATGTGCATTTTAACTCCCACTTGTGTGAGGTGAAATCTTGTTGAGTCCGAGAATTAATGATTGAATGTTTAATACTTTGAGTCATATTTTTCAATGGCTATAGAATTTTGTGAGCTTTAATTCTGAGAAATTTTAAGTCATTCATTGAAAGCTTCGTAATTTACCCCTAGAAGTTTTAATTATGAAATGTAATTAATTGCCTTACTTATGCTTCAAACTAAAAGAATCAAGTGAATGTGAAAAAGCTTGCCAACAAGCCATCTTACGCATCAATAATGTTGAAGTCTAATTACAGTTTTAACCTAGTTTTTTTCTGAAAGTTGTGAATACTGAGGGTTTCGTAAGTGGAATTGGAATGGTTTCAGGAAATATTGCGCAGTGTTCTTGTTGCTTCGATAACAACAAGGAGAATAAACTCAATAAACCTTAACATTGTAATATTCTAGCTTATATCATGTTATTGGAGGTTCTAAAATTCTATTTTCGGTTGGAGGTAATAAGGAAGTGACTTTAAAATTTAAGAAAATTTGGCTGAGTTAAAGCCT